CTTTAGTCAGCACTTGTCTAGTCAGCATCTACTACCACGCCTCCTCCCAGAATGAAGGCGTGGCGCTAAGTACGCGTACGCATGCGCACAACATTGGCGAATTCCGCGCGTACGCGCGTGATCCGTGACAAAGTCTCCACCCTATAGGAATATACTAGTGCAAATGTTGAACATTGTTAGCGAGCGGGAGCGACCCAACTTGGGATTTGCCCGTGATGTTCGGGTTGCATAACGTGCCGTCAGCGCACAGCTTTCCTTTCGTGAAGCAAGACAGAGCTACCTGTCGCCGTTACATAACGTATTGTACATTGGCAGAACGGTGAGCAGGTGAGCAGAACGGTACTTACCTTACGCTTTCAACTCGTCAGTCGTGGTTCACAAGGCAGCTGGCATGCAGCAGTACGTGCACGAGCAGTCCTAGCGTATTTGCATGCATCCCATCCCTATCTTGTCTCCCTTGCCTCTTTTTTTAATTTATTGTATAAAGCTTGTTCAGACATTGTGGGTGGCCCCATTCCTGAGTGGCCGTTGTTATATAAAGGCCTCACTGCCTGTTTCCATGGGTGGTCCATGTCTATCTGTCAGGAACGGAAGATGGTTACTCATGCTGCCTCTTGCTGAGCGGTGGGGGTCTCCTTCATCCCCCTCGCTGGTGAGTCACTTGGGGGTTGGAGTGATCTGGCTGCCAAGACCATCAGCTGTATTGGTTGCCTTCAGTGCCAGAGACTTGGCATCCCCCTTCCATCACCTCTCGCCAGCTGTTACACAACACTGCTGTTTCATGTAGGAGGGTGATTAGTGCCAAAATTCAACCGCAATTTTATTGCTGATACCAGCATTTGTTAGCCGTGAAATTCACCCTTCAAGTTTTTGGAGGGTCAATTTCTCCAGAAACTTCACCCTTCAAAAAATAAAAAGTGAACTTCACCCTTCAAAAATTGCATGGGTAAACTTCACCCTTAAATGGTTGTGACCTTTGACATAAACTTACCCGGTTACGTTCCGTGCGCGAGCGGTTGTACGGAACGGGAGTCAAGGAATGGGACTAAAAAAGTGCTCGTTCTTTAGAGGGCTGAATTTCACCCTTATTTTCGCTGCAAGGTCTAGGTTCACCCTTGCAACTTTTGTTCACCCTTGAAACTTTTGAAGGGCGAAGTTCACCCTTGCAATTATTGATGGGTCTTGTAAACTTTGATGGGTGAAGTTCATTGCGTTTGAATTTTGGCACTAATCACCCTCCATAGCAGACTGCTGTTTGAACTGCTACATGACTTTGTAGCAGTCGTCGCCCTCCAGCGAGAGAAATGCGCCGACGTCGTCGGCGCATTTCTCAGCATACGTACGTGCGCACTCGCTAGGTTATCGAGCGAGTTTTCTGTTACTGCAATCGAACAAGGTCGTGATGGTGGCTCTTTCTCCCTCAGAGAAACTCGTTTCATTGGTCGCTGGGCCGTTTGACTGGTGGGTGTGCCGCGCCGCCACGGTCTCGCTTGCCAGAGTGTAGAAGAGATAGCTGAATGAAGGGGTGTGGTCGCCTCAACCATCTACAGCCTCTACAGAACAGTTTTTGTGTACACTATGTGTACGATGATGATGCTAGTTCAGCAATTTTGTATTGAACGTATATTGAACGCATACTACAATACGGGAAATAAAAGTATGCGGGGCTCCTTTGATCCGCCCACGCAAGTCACAATAAAACATTTTATGTATAGGAGTCCTATTTATTATTAGCAATCCTATACATTATATATTATACAGGAGTCCTATATAACATATTATTGTAGTCTATATATTTATGTGTCCTAGCTATATCCCTTTCGGTCACAAAATGTTGTAAATTTACACACTTCCAGAAACTCTCACATTTGTGAACTCTGACCCGGTAAGCGGGCGGCATGGCGGCATTATCTCATTTAAAAACCGCCCACGTACCCTCAGAAGTGGTCGGTCGGCACTTGGATGTGGCGGTCGGAGCTTTGATTTTGCTTTCATCTACCGTTTCAGTAAAAAAAGCAACAAGGTCCGGATTGAGTGAGACATGTCATAAATGTCTCAGCAGGATGAAAGGCAGGCACATAGGCTGTGCGTTGGTCTGTAAAACGGCAGAAAGAAAGATCGCCTCAGCGCGCGTGCGCGGGATGAAAGGGGTGTGTCGATTTGGGCAGAATTACGCATGCGTTCGATAGAGTTGCTGGAAAACGCCGATCGGGCGCAGAAGCCGAATTCGTGATATAGTAGTGCTATATAACAAATAGAACTCCTATATATAATAGATAGAACTCCTATATAATGTTTAGGATTTCCATGAAATGACACCCATCAATTCACTTGCAAGAAGACATTCGAGCTTTACTAAATATTCCACAACAGAAGCCGAGTCTGGTGTCCAATCAAACTTATAGCAAAGTGACTTCATCACAGGTCATTGGGTCGGGTTGGGATGATATAAAAAGGACAGGATTTGGAACACACTGCATCCATCCAGCAACTGCAGAAGCAACTTCTTTTCCAGAGCTCCAAACCTAAAGGATCATCAATCACCACACTCCTGCTCAAAAAAAACAATGGAAATCAAGGTGGCACTCCTGCTCGTATCAGCCCTAATTGCTGTGGCTGCAGCTTACCCCACCAAGGATCAACAGAAAGCAACTGCTGCTGCTGCTGGTTTAGACTGCGACAACGACCCCATTTTCGAAGTATTCGACTGCCACACGACCTTCCGTCTACAGGGCTGCACTAAAGGTAAGCAGCAGTATAGTATAGACCTTTATAATGGTGGTTAAAATAATAGAAAAGTAAGGGACCTCATAATAATGTGTCTTAGTTTTTTTCCCGGAATGTCCTTTATCTGAGGTTCTGTATATACTGTTGTTAAGGATCAGGCACCGTGAGCTAGTGATAATATGTTTTTCTTTTCAGATGGACAATCCTGTATTTCTGGACTACCTCCAAGCTGCTATTATCCTCCTGATCAATGCCACTACTTTTTCTGGTATACGGAAAGTGGTGTCTATAGTACATCTATCTGCAAGAGTAAGTGATTATTATAAGGAGGGAAAGAACAAGAAGTTAAAAGTGGCATGTTTTTGGTCCATGTAATGCAATGTTTAATTATTCCAGCTATCTACACGACTGCATGCTGCTCTTACGATGCATCACCGCCTAGCTGTGACTATGTTTTGGCTCAGGAAGAGGCCACTGACGGTATAAAGTTTTGTTATAAACATCAGTTCACCCTTTACGAGTGAAAACAAACTTTACATCCCTGATATAGATGCTGTTGAAGGAGTGAGGATCTGCGAGACAGATGCCAATGGTGATGAGCATTGTCGCTCTCTATCTGAAGGAAAATCCGGTTTGTTAGCTATCCATGACACGTGTAGCTATATCTCAACCATATATGGCTGAAATGGTGTCCCCTTATGCCTAGAATTAGCTATAACCTTATAGACTTGTGGCAGCCTTGGACAAATTTTTATTATGTGTTTTCTGGTGTTAAACCACATCTCCCGCTCTCTCCCTCTTCTAGGGCCTGCATTGACCTGGGCTCACAGACTAACATGAAAACATACATATGAGCTAAATTATTGTTGGTGTCTCTCTCTCTTTCTCAGCGGAGGCAATGCAGGAGTCTGACTGCTTCTGTGTGAGAGACGGAGAGGGACACAAAGTCTGTGAACCTGACAACTGTGATGCTGGACGGCAGGCCCCAAAATTCGCGGAGGAAATGAAGGAGTCTGACTGCTTCTGTGTGAGAGACAGAGAGGGACACAAAGTCTGCGAACCTAACAACTGTGACGCTGGACGACAGGCCCCAAAATTCAACTGACCTCCAGCAACGTAACAATTGCAGCAGTAGTGACTGGCTCTTTTAGCTCATTTAGTGTTTGACTATTGTACTTTCCTACTGTATGTATCTATTAATATGCTGCGTGATTCATAAGCAAATACTCTTTGATAGAACATTACCGTGCTAAAATGCATGTGGTAACAGTTGATGGCCACTTATACTGAAGCTGTTTTTAGCACGTGAGCCAAACGCTAGTCTATATGCGCTTATGCTCCAGAAGAATCTCTTTGTTCTTCCCCATAATAATCTCTTTCCCTGGCAGATGATTGTAGACCAGCAATAGTTCCCGAATACCAGAAAAAAATAGTAGCATTGGCTAGCAAAAGTGCACCTTCTAGACGGTAGTCCGGAAACACAGGGTTGTCCATCATTATAACGTGAGATTGGTACTCGGAGACGAGTCCCAGGGAGGCCTGTTGGTCCCATGACGACTCCTCAGTGTCCCCGGAACCTCGGCCGGGGCCCATATATAGGCCGTCCCTGAGACTCGTCTCCGAGTACCAAACTCACTACCTCGGCTCCGAGTTCATCGCTACGGTCGAGAAACAGCTTCTCTTCCTCGCTCTCCGGCTCTTGCATGCCTTTGTGCCTCTGTCCGTCTCTAGATCTTTACCTCTCTCGCCCTCAACCCTCGGTGCGCATGCGCAGCGATGGTTTTGTCCGTCCGTCTGGCTGTCCGTCAGTTACCACGTTTTTTCTGCCACTATGCGCAACAAACAGGTAAAAAGCGAAACCAATGGGTTCAGCGCTACACTGGCTTTAATGGCGAAAAGTGTCGCGTTCAGAAGTTATGGCGTGAAAACCAAGTGAACAAGAAACTTACCTTGACCGGGTGCGCTTGTTCTGTGGATGTTGAAGGCACAAGAAGTCGCAACAAACAACGCGTATCGACTCCCGCATGCTATCTACTACTGTAGCTAGCCCGTGTCAGACTCTCCGTGAGCAACTACCGGGATATCGCGAGTAAACGCGCGCATACTCAATCTCAGCGGTACCGCGCATGCGTAGTTAGCCGAATACTGGACTGCGCAGTGCAGTTGTGCAATGCTTTTCTATGACATGATGACATTATGTGTTGGGCAACGATACTTTATGATATGTGTAGTGCAATGATGTTGCAAAGCTATAAAAATAGTAGCAACTGCCTGTTGTGCAATGCACATGATGAACTAGTCCAAAAATTAGTTACTTTGCTATACGCACAATTAACTACTCTACATTGTTCAAACTTCGTGACTAACAAACTCTATTGACTCGCGCCCAGGGTTTGAACTTTAGTTAACCCTCGGCGCGCATGCGCAGCGAGGGTGGTTTGTCATTCCGTCTGTCTGTCTGTTACCACGTTTTCTCCCGCTACGCGCAACAAGGCGGCAAAAAAGTTATACCAACGGGCTCAGTACCACACTGGCTTTATTTTATAGCGATTTTGGTTAAAATTCTGCGTTCGAAAGTTATGGCGTGAAAAGCAAGTCAAGGAGCTGATAGTACAGGCTTAGCTACCTCGACCGCGTCCGCTCGCTCTGTGTATCTTGAGGGCACAAGAAGTCACAACGAAGGGCAGGTATCGACTCCCGCATGCTATCTACTACTGTAGCTAGCCCGTGTCAGACTCTCCGCGAGCTACTAGCGGGATACCACGAGTAAAGGCCAGCCCATCAATTTAGTGGTACCGCGCATGCGCAGTTCGCCGAGGGTTCGCACTATAGTTTTAACCCTCGGCGCGCATGCGCAGCGAGGGTTATAGTACTTGGTTTGTAAGTGTGTCTGTCCGTCTGCTCTGTCTGTTACCAGCTTTTCTGCGACTACGCGCAACGAACAGCGATACCAACGGGTTCATCGCTACACTGGCTTCATATTCGTCCGTCTGTCCGTCCGTCCACCGTTTTTCTCGGTAACCGCGGCAACTCTGAGCGTGAAACGTGGACATATTGTCAAGTAGGAGGCATGCATGGTAAAATAAGATTCTGGAGCGGAGAAGGCCGGGGAAGCTGGTGAAACGGACGGCTGCTGAGGTGAGTGTGAGTCAAATAGAGATCGCGGACGATCGCTGTACTTAGATGCTTTGCGCGTGCGGAGAAGATTCGCTGGTCTGCCGGTATTGATGGTATAGTTGAGTAGGAGCGAGATTGCCGGTGAAGTGAGAGCCAGGGAGCGAATCTGTTCAGTGAAGGAGTCACTGAGGTAGCTATAGCCATTGGCTGCTGAATGTAGCGCTAGTAAACTACTATTGTAGCTCCATAATCAACAGGGGCGAGGGTTATGCACTTTCAAGTGCTTTTCATTTATCAATGAGTTAGTTACTACGGAATGCCACCCATCAATTCACTTACAGGAAGGCAATCGAGCTTCACTAAATATTCCACAACAGAAACCGACTCTGGTATCAAAGTGACAACACCACAGGTAAGAACTGCATCATCAGAAGAGGTCGGTCGGCACTTGGATGTGGCAGTCGGAGCTTTGATGTTGCTTTCATCTACCCTTTCAGTAAAAAAAGCAACAAGGTCCGAAGCCACACAAATCATACTCTGCGCATGAAAAGCACTAAAGTGCAAACCCTCGGCGAACTGCGCATGCGCGGTACCACTAATTGATGGGCTGGGCTTTTCTTTTCTTTACTCGTTGTATCGCGCTAGTAGCTCGCGGAGAGTCTGGCACGGGCTAGCTACAGTAGTAGATTGCATGCGGGAGTCGATACATGCCCTTCGTTGTGACTTCTTGTGCCTTCAAGATACACAGAGCGCGCGGACGCAGTCGAGGTAAGCCTGTGCTAATTACCATATTGGCTTGTTCACTTGGTTTTCACGCCATAACTTTAGAACGTAGTAGTTTTACAAAAATCGCCTTTTTTAAAATCAACCCAGTGTAGCACTGAGCCCGATCATATCGCTATTTACCTGATTTTGTGCGCGCGGTGGCAGAAAACGTGGTAACAGACAGAATGAAAAGCACTAAAGTGCAAACCCTCGGCGAACTGCGCATGCGCGGTACCGCTAATTGATGGGCTGGGCCTATTATACTAGTATACGTTTACTCCCGCTTAGCTCGCGGAGAGTCTCAAACGGGCTAGTTACAATAGTAGATAGCATGCGGCAGTCGATACACGCCCTTCGTTGTGACTTCTTGTGCCTCAGAGGTACACAGAGCAAGCAGATCAGGTCGAGGTAAGCTAGTTAACCCTCGGCGCGCATGCGCAGCGAGGGTTACGGTAGTTGTCCCGTGTGTCAGTCTGTCAGTCTGTCAGTCTGTCTGTCTGTTACCACGTTTTCTGCCACCGCGCGCACGAAATCAGGTAAATAACGATATGATCTGATTCAGTGCTACAGTGGGTTGATTTTTTTTAAAAAGGCGATTTTCGTAAAACTACTGTGTTTTAAAGTTATGGCGTGAAAACCAAGTGAACAAGCCAATATGTAAATTAGCACAGGCTTACCTCGACCGCGTCCTTTCGCTCTGTGTGTCTTGAAGGCACAACAAGTCACAACGAAGGGCATGTATCGACTCACGCATGCTATTTACTACTGTAGCTAGCCCGTGCCAGACTCTCCGCGAGCTACTAGCGGGATACCACGAGTAAAGGCATAAAAAACCCAGCCCATCAATTAGTGGTACCGCACATGCGCAGTTCGCCGAGGGTTTGCACTTTAGTGCTTTTCATTCTAATTAGCATATTGGCTTGTTCACTTGGTTTTAACGCCATAACTTCTGAACGCGGACTTTTACGAAAATCGCCATTTTTAAAATAAAGCCAGTGTAGCGCTGAACCGGTTGGTGTCGCTATTTTACCTGTTTGTTGCGCGTGGTGGCAGAAAACGTGGTAACAGACGGACAGACAGACAGACAGACAGACAGACAGACAGACAGACGGACAAACCAAGTACTATAACCCTCGCTGTGCATGCGCGCCGAGGGTTAATAAGGAAGTATATGAGCACTGCGGAGCAGCTTATGGGGGGTGCTCACCAAGTTTGGACCATCACTAAAGAATATCACACATTCCCAAAACTAGTGAAGCCTTCGATCGCCAACTGCTAGCAGATAAAATATTATCAAGACTGCTTTTCCCATAAGTCAGAAACGTTACAAATGGTCCCGCCAATCCTCCATGCTAACGCTCCACATTCCGGGCGGCGCGGTGCGGGGTGAGAGGTCTTGATCTGGCGAGGCTTCTGGTGCAAGCTGCCGGCAAGTGAATTCCTGTTCCATCTTAGTTGCTCCGGGCTGGGGTTAGAGAGGCCCTCAGTTGCTGCAAGAATCTTGTCAAGAAAGCTTAACTTTATTCTCCATTTAAAGTTAATGGACTCTACAGAATCAATTGCATCAAAGTTGTACAATTCCTCTGATCCACTGCACCTCTCCCTCACACACGAGTGTAAATTCCTAGAGGAGCACACTGTACTGGACTCATACACGGAGAAAGTGATCTCTGGAGAATTTGATGGTCAAAGAAAAGCCCTTTCCAACGAAAAATCATGAAGCAAGACTGGCAAATAACCTTGAAGAAGGGACATGAAAGAGATAGCACTGGAATCGCAAAATGAAGTCAGTTGGTTAAAGTTATGGGATGCAATGCTTGACGAGGGAATTCATGGAACGGTTAGGTTGCAATCCTTGTACAAAGTTATAACGTGGCCCAAAGTAGCAACATTTCGGTGTGCCCAGTCTGTGAATGGGAAAGCAATGTATACCCACCTGCTCCCACATCTACTAGAAATCAATCTACAAGGACATTATTATACAGTGCTAACATCAGCATCAACAAGAGACATTTACTGGTTGTTAATCAAGTTCACCAATCTCAAAACAGTCATGGTTCCTAGCTTTGTTTTAGCTACCATTGTCTGTCCTATTTTTGCTGCCTTTACTGGTGTATGCAATAGTAACCATTGAACCATTGAACAATAGTATGGTCGTTGCATGTGCCGCGCGGGGATACGTGCTTCACCGGCACTATAATATTATAGCATTATGGTCTTGCATTGACATTTTGCCGCGCGTATATATGGCACGCGATACGTAACAAAGTCTCCACCTATAGGTTTTGGTATATGTTACCCCAGCAACGGCGCATTGTAGGGTATGATTTATTGGCCAGTAGTAGCACCCACTTTGGTGCATATAGCTATATACTACCACCAACAGCAGAGGGCTGAGCTACTTCCTAATCAATACCCACTTTGCTTTCCTTATAGGGAATTCAGGCATTGTGCTGGAGAACTGTACCAAGTAGGTTTGATGATGGCAAGTATGCTATATTCGCGCTGCATACTTATCTTGCATCAAACCTATACATAACATTTTGCTATAGGAAATACAAAGTAGCTATTATGCTAAGGAAATATCACTTGCTTGCTCTATGAAATAGCGCTTCATGGATCCCATCCCTATCTTGTCTTTTTATACCATCCCTATATGCCTCGTTTTTAAATAAAAAAATTAATTTACTTGTATAAAGCTTGTTGAGATATTGTGGGTGGCCCCATTCCTGAGTGGTCGTTGCTAAAGGCCTCACTGCCTGTTTCCATGGGTGGTCCCTGTCTATCTGTCAGGAGCGGAAGATGGCTACTCTTGCAGAGCGGTGGTCTCTCTTTCTTCTGCTTTCCTCTGGTCGTTTAGTCAGCACTTGTGTGTAGTCAGCATCTACTACCACGCCTCCTTCCAAGAATGAAGGCGTGGCGCTAAGTAAGCGTACGCATGCGCACAGCATTCGCGGTTGCCGCGCGTAAGGCACGCGATCCGTAACAAAGTCTCCACCTATAGGTTTTGGTATGTTACCCCAGCAACGGCGCATTGTAGGGTATGAGTTATTGGCCAGTATATAGTAGCACCCACTTTGCTGTACTACCACCAACAGCAGAGGGCTGCGTCAGCCCACTTTGCTTTCCTTATATATAGCGTTGTGCTGGACGGTAGTAATACCGCACGCGTGTATAGCGCACCCAGGCACCTAGCCCATGCGCCGAAGGCTAATGTACAAATGGAGTGGCACATCAGGCAAGGATTGTTGTGATGGGGTTGGGGGTGTCAGCGTGCTCAAGTGTGTTCATTAACCATGCTTCATGCATCCCATCCCTATCTTGTCTCCCTTTCTTTATGCCTCGTTTTTTAATTTATTTGTATAAAGCTTGTTGAGATATTGTGGGTGGCCCCATTCCTGAGTGGTCATTGCTATAATTATAAAGGTCTCACTGCCTGTTTCCATGGGTTGTCCCTGTCTATCTGTCAGGAACGGAAGATGGTTACTCATGCTGCCTCTTGCAGAGCGGTGGGGGTCTCCTTCATCCCCCTCGCTGGTGAGTCACTTGGGGGTTGGAGTGATATGGCTGCCAAGACCATCAGCTGTATTGGTTGCCTTCAGTGCCAGAGACTTGGCACCCCCCTTCCATCACCTCTCGCCAGCTCTTTCAGAGGTGCTCCGTGTCGCTGTGGAGAGCATTGTGGCTGCACCGTTTCCCTCCAATCTCCTCCTTTATTGACAGTGTTGTCTGACTTTCGGTATTTTTTGTTCTTTCTTTATAGTTTTTTGGTTCTTTGTTTTTGTTTTTGTTCTTTTTTGGTGAATGTCTTTGTGTATAATTATACCTTAATGCCTTTTCTTTTTTTCTTTTTTACGTCTCACACAATTCCAATTATCTACTGTAAAAACGTAAATAGCATGCATTGCGCAAACGTTGCGTCAAGGTGGCGAATATTATAGTTGATCCATGGTGGAAACTTCATCAAAGAAGCGCTGCCAGTCCCAAACCACACTTTCCTCCAGCTCAGACTCTTCTTCCTCAGACATTGCACACCTCTCAAGTCGTTGGGTCCAAAGTTTAGTGTTCGGTGCATGGGCTTGGTGCCTGCGTGCACAATACACGCATGCAGTATTACTCATTAGTTCAGAACCACAAGTGCTGTGCTCCTGGTAGCCTTTATAAACTCGTGGTGCCAGAGAGAGAAGTTGCAGTATGCTCTGCTGATGAGGGCCAACAAGCCCGAAACAGCTGTCCAGAGCTCCGCATCTTTTTTCTCTTGGCATCACATGGTCTAATACCTTCATGTATAATTATACTGAGGATGAGAGTATAGCGCTATTTCATAGAGCAAGCAAGTGATACGTATTTCCCTAGCATATACTTTGTATTTCCTATAACAAATAAGTGATATTTGCTATAGCAAAAGGTTATATCCTATAGGTGGAGACTCATTTATTTTTGTTACGGATCACGGCCATACGCACGCTCGTATAGGGATCAACGGGGATCCAGGGGATTCTTGCATAACAAACATCTCACCCACAAAGACTGGTTTATCAATGAGCAACTCTATAGCAACTACGGAATGACACCCATCAATTCACTTGCAAGAAGACAATCGAGCAACTATATAGCTAGTAACTACGGAATGACACCCATCAATATTCACTTGCAAGAAGACAATCGAGCAACTATATAGCTAGCAACTACGGAATGACACCCATCAATATTCAATTGCAAGAAGACATTCGAGCTTCATTAATATTCCATATTCCACAACAGAAGCCGATTTGCAAGAAGACATTCGAGCTTTACTAAAATTCCACAACAGAAGCCGACTTGCAAGAAGACATTTGAGCTTACTAAAATTCCACAACAGAAGCCCACTGTCCAGAAGAGTCTCCCGTACAGAGCCTGAACGCAAAATGAGCAAGCGCTTTTGGTTTGCGATTACAAGAATTATGCTATAATATTATTATGGTGAGACTTGCGGGCGGCAACGTTTTGTAGGAGTGCTATAATAGTAAATAGAACTCGTTTAGGATTTCTATAGAATGACACCCATCAATTCACTTGCAAGAAGACATTCGAGCTTTACTGAATATTCCACAACAGAAGCCGACTGTCCAGAAGAATCTCTCGTACAGAGCCTGAACGCAAAATGAGCAAGCACTTTTGGTTTGCAATTATGCTATAAAGTGAGACTTGCAGGTGGCGACGTTTTGTAATGGTGCATGCGCACAAATAATGTTTCAAGATAATTATCATTAGCGCGCATGCGCGATTACATAACGTCGTCCCCGAGGGTTTTGGGCTTGGATGAAAAGTTTTTGCAGCCTTGCAAACTTTGCCCTTGTATGGGGTGCCAAACTGACCAAAAAGCCATTTTTGAACTCTCTCCTACTTACATAATTATAGGCCTTCTATTTTTGTCAAATACACAACACTGCTGTTTCATGTAGGAGGGTGATTAGTGCCAAAATTCAACCGCAATTTTATTGCTGATACCAGCATTTGTTAGCCGTGAAATTCACCCTTCAAGTTTTTGGAGGGTCAATTTCTCCAGAAACTTCACCCTTCAAAAAATAAAAAGTGAACTTCACCCTTCAAAAATTGCATGGGTAAACTTCACCCTTAAATGGTTGTGACCTTTGACATAAACTTACCCGGTTACGTTCCGTGCGCGAGCGGTTGTACGGAACGGGAGTCAAGGAATGGGACTAAAAAAGTGCTCGTTCTTTAGAGGGCTGAATTTCACCCTTATTTTCGCTGCAAGGTCTAGGTTCACCCTTGCAACTTTTGTTCACCCTTGAAACTTTTGAAGGGCGAAGTTCACCCTTGCAATTATTGATGGGTCTTGTAAACTTTGATGGGTGAAGTTCATTGCGTTTGAATTTTGGCACTAATCACCCTCCATAGCAGACTGCTGTTTGAACTGCTACATGACTTTGTAGCAGTCGTCGCCCTCCAGCGAGAGAAATGCGCCGACGTTGTCGGCGCATTTCTCAGCGTACGTACGTGCGCACTCGCTAGGTTCTCGAGCGAGTTTTCTGTTACTGCAATCGAACAAGGTCGTGATGGTGGCTCTTTCTCCCTCAGAGAAACTCGTTTCATTGGTCGCTGGGCCGTTTGACTGGTCGGTGTGCCGCGCGGCCACGGTCTCGCTTGCCAGAGTGTAGAAGAGAAACGTAGCTGAATGAAGGGGTGTGGTCGCCTCAGCCATCCCTCGCCTCTACAGCCTCTACAGAACAGTTTTTGTGTACACTATGTGTACGATGCTGATGCAATTGTTGTATTGAACGTTCAATATTAGTCATATTAAACGCATACTACAATACGGGAAACAAAGGTATGCGCGGCTCCTTTGATCCGCCCACGCAAGTCACAATAAAACATATTGTAGTCTATATAATAATGTATGCAGGAGTCTTATTATAATTGTTATTATGGCACTCTTATTTATTATTTGGTACACGTTACCCGGCAACGACGCACTATGAGGTATATACGATTTATTGGCTTGTAGTAACACCCACTTAGCTGTACCACCAGAGGGCTGAGCTACTTCCTAATCAACACCAACTTGGCTTTAATTCAGGCATTGTACTGTCAAGCGCTTACACAACACTTTCCTAAAAGGGCGGCATCCATTGTCCTTTAGTTACTACAGAGACACGTACCAAGTAGGTTTGATGACGGAAGGTGAGCTCTATTCGCGCTGCGCGCTCATAGAGAACACCTGCCGCCATCAAACCTACACGCGGGACTCCTATTTATATACAGGGAGTTATTAGCAATCCTATAGGACTCCTATATATTACTATACAGGAGTCCTATATAACATATTATTGTAGTCTATATTTATAACAAAAGGACTCCTATATAAATGATGTAGGATTGCTAAATACTAAATACATAGGACTCCTATAATATATAAATAGGAGTGCTATATATAAATAGGAGTACTAAATATTATATAGTAGTGCTATATAACAAATAGAACTCCTATAATATAATAGATAGAACTCTTATATAATGTTAAAGGATTTCTATGGAATGACACCCATCAATTCACTTGCAAGAAGACATTCGAGCTTTACTAAATATTCCACAACAGAAGCCGAGTCTGGTGTCCAATCAAACTTAGAGTGAGCTAGGTTCGAATTGACCAATCAGATTGCAAAGCCGAGGTTTACTATTTCCCGTAGTAAACCTCGACGGGGTTTACTACATGTAGTAAACCTACACAAACTACAAAACCTACAGATAAAACAGGAAAACATAACAAAATGTACATGTAAACAACAAGATCAACAACTGAATCTACATTGACGCTTCGTCCACGCGCACGCGCAGACCCCCCTGCGCGCAGACCGTCGAGCACAACCAAAAAAAGAAGGCGGAGTCGCTACCGCGGCCACTTCGCTACCTCTTCTTGCACTGCATTTTCTGGCGCTCTGAGCCTGTCTTCATCGAGTTATCATTAGAAGCGCTCCGCCATACGAACGAACAGGAAAGCCAGAGCGCTCAACGTGAAGCGCTCACTCTAAAATAGTTAGACGCTGATTCCTCGGTAACCACGCGCCGGTAGAAAGCCTCGTGCCCCGGGGGTAGCGCCCTCGCTGCGCTCGGGGCGCCACAATGCCGGGGCTCTCGGCTTTCTACTGCGCGTAGTTACCTCGAATCAGCGTCTAACTATTATTTATAGCAAAGTGACTTCACCACAGGTCATTGGGTCGGGTTGGGATGGTATAAAAAGAACAAGATTTGTAACACACTGCATCCATCCAGCAACTGCAGAAGCAACTTCTTCTTAAGAGCTCCAAACCTAAAGGATCATCAATCACCACTCTCCCGCTCAAAGAAGCAATGGAAATCAAAGGGCCACTCCTGCTCGTATCAGCCCTAATTGCTGTGGCTGCAGCTTACCCCCTACAAGGATGCTGTGGCTGCAGCTTACCCCTACAAGGATCAACAGCAAGCAATTATTGCTGGCTGCAACTACAACGCCGTTTATGAGATATTCGTATTTGGGCAACAGTTGCATCTAGTAGGGGAAGAACAAGAAGGAGTGGAATCCATTCTAAGTACATATTGTAGGATCAAGTAGCTAAACTCTATGTAAAAAGTTGCATGCTTATGGTCCATTTGTGCTAATTATAATGCAATGTTCAGTGTTAGTAAAATATGGTTAATTATTCCAGATCCATATGACTCTGGAAGCTGCTATAAATCTTCAACACTGCCTAACTGTTACGATCTTCAGGCTCAGGAAGAGGCTACTGACGGTATAAAGTTTTGTTATAAACACCAGCTCGCCCTCTATGAGTGAAAACATACTTTACTTCCCTGATTTAGAAGGAGTGAGGATCTGCGAGACAGATGCCAATGGTGTTGAGCATTGTCGTTCTCTATCTGCAGGAAAATCCGGTTTGTTAGCTCTCCATGGCATGTGTAGCTAAATCTCAACCATATGGCAGAAATATGTGTCCCCTAATTAGCTATATATATAACCTTATGGAGTTGTGGCAGCCTTGGACAAATTTTATTATGTGTTTTGGTGGCTGGTGTTAAACCACATCTCTCTCTCTCTCTCTCTCTTTCTCCCTCTTCTGGGGTGCATTGACCTGAGCTCACAGACTAACACGAAAACATACATGTATACATATTAGCTAATTGTTGGTGTCTCTCTCTCTCTCAGCTGAGGCAATGCAGGATGACTGCTTCTGTGTGAGAGACACAGAGGGACACAAAGTCTGTGAACCTGACAAATGTGACTCTGGACGACAGGTCCCAAAATTCAACTGAGCTCCAGCAAAGCAACAATTGCAGCAGTAGTGACTGGCTCTTTTTAGCTCATTTAGTGTTTGACTATTGTAGTTTCTTACTGTATGTATCTGTTTATGCTGCGTGATTCAGAAGCAAATATTCTTTGATAGAACATTACCATGCTAAAATGCATGTGGTAACAGTAGATGGCCTCTTATACTGAAGCTGTTTTTAGCACGAGAGCCAAACGCTAGTCTATATGCGCTTATGCTCCAGAAGAATCCCTTTGTTCTTCCCCATAATAATCTCTTACCCTGGCAGATGATTGT